CATCGGCGGCCAATGGTCGCAGCAACGCTTGGCCGAACACAAGTTCTCGGACATGGGCTACTGCCAGAACTGCGGCGCAGGCTGGGGCGGCGCGCTCCACCATCGCTTCTGGCAGTGCCCCAGCAAGCGCGACGCGCGCGAGGGGGCGGTCGAGGCCGACGCCATCGGGAAGGCCAGGAGGAGCAACTCCAACGACCTCTTCTTCACACGCGCGCTCATGCCTAGAGCGCGCTTGCCCCAAGTGCCGCCGCCCATCGCGCACGCGGAATGACACATCGACAAATAGGGGAACGGTCTTGTCATAACGGGCGCGGTGTTCACGGACGGGTCGGGGCGCTCGCCGATAGGATGGCCAGAGGCGAATGGGGCAGGATGGTTCTACAATGATGGAGCGACATCGATGCAAAGGCCCGGCGCACGGGCCGCTCCCAGGCTTCGAGCAGTCAGTGCCTCGAACCGAGCTGCGCGCCATCGTCCAGGTGCTGAAACACGCCGTGCTGCCCGTGGCCATCAAGACGGATTGTCTCAACGTGGTGGAGGCCATGCACAGGGGCCCAGCGTGGTGCTTGCATGTACGGCGCGACCACCTCGACCTATGGAAGCAGTTCTGGTATCTGGTGCAAGACCAAAATGGGATCTTGGAGGACCACGGCATCTCGTGGGTCAAGGCGCACCAGTCGGAGTTGATCACGACGGATCGACTGGACAAATGTGGGCAACGAGCGGGCGGACACTGCGGCCAAACAGGGGCTCCGATGTCATGAGGTCCCTGAAAATGCGATCGCAAAGCGCACCGAGTTGCTCCAGGAGCTCCGCCAGGTGGCGGCGTGGACCGCCAACTCCCAGTCGATGCAGGACGTGGCGGCCTCCGAAAGGATCGAGACGGTCGGCCGCAAACCGAGGCATGCGGGAAGCGGCCTTCGCCCCGAGAGAGTGACTGAAAAACGAACCCACCCTGAGATAGCGCTTGGCGCTGTGCCGCACGCCCCCATCGCTTACAAACTAGGCTGGAAGTGCGCCAGATGCCCTAGGTTGGCCAGGCCCTGGGCGGAAAGGAAGCGGATGGGTGCCGAGCCGTGTTGTGTGCAGCCGTGCAGTGTCGACCCCCCCGCGGACCTGCAGCTTGACGCCCCAGGACCTGACCCCAAGAGGATCCTCCAGAGAACCTCAGGGAATGTCGAGAGCAGAACCGTTCGTATGAGAGACACTGGCAAGAGTGCACCGCAAGGCCCCGCTCCCACCCTCTCGTCCTCGTCGGAGCCCCCCTGCCGGCCCCCATCCTTCCCCCAGCGAGGCTCGCGCGAGCAGCGACCCTCAGCAGGGAGCGACGCTCGACCAAGGCCGCCCCCCCCTGCTCGTCCTCGGTGGTGCTCCCTCCCTCGTGTCCCTCCACCCCCAGGGCGCCATCGCCCGACCCGTCGGCGGAATTCGCGCGTAAAGTGCGTCCGCATGTCTCCTTCGCGCCCGTCCTGGAGACCCCCTGGGCCCACGGAGGCCATTCGGACCGCAGTGGAGGTTGGCTCGAAGAAGCGCCGTCGGAGTTTACCCCCTCTCGGCAGGTGCCACGCTGTCCCTCCTGGGGAGCCGCTGCCACCTGAAAGGCACGTCCCGCCTGCGAGTGCTCGCGGCCACCGGCTGTACATTGCCAGTGATATCGTCGGTTGTGCTCTATGTGGGGCGTAGTCAGCTCGCGGGGACAGGTCGCAGCTGTATGGTTACTGCGACCCTGACCTGTTGGTTGACAACCACCAGCGCAAATGGCGCAAGGATAATCCCACCAGCCCTCTGGGCGTCGGTGGTTTAGAGCGTTTCCTCTTCCACCCCTCCTTCTTCCCTTTCGGGGAGGGGTTTACCCCTCCCCCTACCCCCTCCCCACTGACCTGGACAGGGGGGGCCGCGGGTAGTTAGAGCGTCCAAGAATGACCCCTGGGAGGGCTAAAATTCGACACCCCTCACGAGGATCGTGCCCCCCAGAGGGGGCGACGTTAAAAAATGCTTCCCCCTTCTGCGATCGATGTCCTCCAAGAGGGCCTCAAGAGACGTCTCGGACTCTCCTCTTGCGCCCTGCGCGCGGGCGGGCGGAGCGCCGCCCGCCCGCCCGCGAGGCCCAAGAGCCCACCAAAACGTTCGAAGATACCTCCAAGACGCCACCAGGGAAGAGGAAGAGGAGGAGGAGGAGGAGGAGGAAGGGAGGAGGAGAAGGCGGAGGAGAAGGAGGAAGAGGGGGAGGAGAACAGCTGCCGATCATCGGCGCTCTTCGTTCGAGTGCCTGGTGTAGGATGGGCTGGTGGGGATACGCGAAGCGTCAAGAATTTCATGTCAAGGGTCCACCCAAAAAGAGCCAAGGGTGGACCCCCCACTCCCGTGTCCAGAGAGCTCGTGGCCACTGATGAGGCCGCTTGCTAGCTAGGCCTCATATCGCTAAACTAGTTTCGGTGAGAACTCGTTTGGCTTAGTCTTGTGTGCTCGTGGGCCGAGTAGGGCATCGAGTGTTGCGTCGGCGATGTCGCATCCCCCTCGCTAGACTACGCTATTTGTCTCGGCGTTGGCGTTGTCCTGTGTTATGTGGCAGATTGTGCCACTACGCTGTTCCCCATCTCTCTTTAGTTCCCGAACCCGAACTCGGCGCGTCTTCCCATGTGCTCGCTGCTCGTCCTTGCCCTCATCGTCTTCCTTGTCCTTTCCTCCTCTCCCTCGTCGTCGTTGTACTCCTCCTCTTCCTTCCCTCACCCCCACGCGGCCCCAAGGACTGCCCTCTGTTCACGTGGTTGCCCGCTGTGTTTCAGTACATGTGTCTCACACGTCCATTTTCCGTCAACTCTCGTAGGCAAGGATTCCGAATGGGCTGATGGGGATACTTTTTGGTCAGCGGCCGCGGGCGAGCGCGCTGGCGGCGAGTCCAGTCAAAGCGGGGCACGCAACGACAAATTCACCTAAAGCAGCGGAGGGCAAAAACTGATGGGGATACGCTTTTTGTTCGGCGGCTCCAAGGAAAACCCCAGGGAGCGGTCACAACGTCCGGGGCGCGGTACGAAGTAAATTTGCGAATCCAGCCGTCACAGGACAGCCGACCGCACCTGCAAGCTGATGGGGATACGCGAAGCGTGAAGAATTCGCCGGCCCAACGGGCCAAGGCGTGCTAAGTTCTCCGGTAACAGGTAAACAGTATTTCTAGTTCGCGCGCGCGGGGCGGCCCCTAGGAGTCCCCGGGCGAAAAGTACCCCAGCAGGTCCCCGGCAGGGTGGGGGCCAGAGATGCCGGACTTCCTGGGCGCGGCCCTGGAGGCCTCTGGAGCGCTCCAGGAGCGCTCCAAGGAGACGCCAAATATGTGGCAGGCCCAGCAGCCTGAAGCCAAGAGCGCCCCCAGACGGCCCAGATGGCCTCAAGACGGCCCAAGGTGCTCCCAAGACGCCCCAAGATGCGTCCAAGAGACCTCCCAAGAGGCCCCCAAGAAGCCAAAATTGATGATTTTCATTGTTTTTTTTGCGGATTTTGGCGTTCTCGCCTCTTCGGCTTCCTAGCGCTCCAAGACGGCCCCAAAAGCCCTCAATATCGCCCCCATACAGCCTACGAGGGTTCAAGACCGTTCCGAAACGACCCCAGAGGGCCCCAAGAGACCCCCAGAAACCCCGAAGATGGCCCAAGATGCCCCCAAGACGGCTCCAAGACCGGGCCCCGACAGGGGACCGGAACGGACATTTCGCACTCTAAGCCGCAAGACGTCCCCAGGAGACCTCATAATGCCCCCAAGAGGCCTCAAGACGGCCCAAGATGCTCCCAAGACGCCCCAAGATGCGTCCAAGAGACCTCCCAAGAGGCCCCCAAGAAGCCAAAATTGATGATTTTCATTGTTTTTTTTTCGGATTTTGGCGTTCTCGCCTCTTCGGCTTACTAGCGCTCCAAGACGGCCCCAAAAGCCCTCAATATCGCCCCAATACGGCCTACGAGGGTTCAAGACCGTTCCGAAACGACCCCAGAGGGAAACCTCCGAGATGGCCCAAGATGCCCCCAAGACGGCTCCAAGACCGGGCCCCGACAGGGGACCGGAACGGACATTTCGCGCTCTAAGCCGCAAGACGTCCCCAGGAGACCTCATAACGCCCCCAAGAGGCCCCCGAGAGGCCCCAAGAGGCCCCCAACAGGCCCCAAGAGGCCCCCAGGAGGCCCCAGGAGGCTCTAGAAATACTGCCAAGAGGCCCTCGAGAGGCTTCCCAAGAGACCCAAAACGGCCTCTAAAAAACGCGTCTTGTCCACGACCAAACTTGGCTCCCAAATGTCCCCCTCCTCCTCCTCCTCCTTCTCGCTCGCCACGAGCACGCCAACATAAAGCACAATTGATACAAGATTTCCCCCGCCTCCCTCCTCCTCCTCCTTTTCGCTCGCCACGAGCCCACCAACATATGGCACACCGCGGCGACGACGACGACGACGACGGCGACGACGACGACGACGACGACGACGGCGGCGACGAAGATGCTTCCCGAAGCGGCGGAGGCTCTCAGCTCCCCTCCCCGACCATAGGCATGACCGTATGCGAACGGACCCACAACTGCAAACGATGCATCCAAGTACGAAGACCACTGACTCCAACACCCTCGCACCACAAACAGAGCACCCCTAAACACGCCGAGGCAACCGCAGGCAAAGCCCGACCGAACCCTGGAACCTCCAGAAAGCGGGGCTCCATTGGCGGACCGCGCCAAACCACCATCCGCGAGCCCCATGAGAGCAAACGATGGCGCCACAAACCACTGACAGCCGCAAACGTCGAACCAACACACTGGACTGGTGCACCCACCACCGAAAACAACTCCCCCCCCACCAGCGCAGCATGGCTCACGGACGCGCAGCCAAACCCCAGCGATTACGCATTATGGGCCGGCGGAATGAGCGAAGCGATTAAATAAGAAATGCTGTCATTATGCGAGTTGTTTGTAGATATTGTGATGTGCTCTGCCACACTGCACTATGGTACGTAATGATCGGTCATGCTTTTCTATGCGGAGCAACGTATGCTACGATACGCCATGCATTGCGATCCAATGCTACACACTACTGAGATGTCATGACACGTTAAGCGGTGTTACGCTTCGCAGTACTTTGCTTTAACATGATGGACAATGTATGTCACCTCATTGGGTGTCACCCCGTTGTGTCGCGTTGCGCATGTACGCCTCCGATAAGATACCCCTCGACTTGGGTCGCGACAGGGTCATCTGTTGACCAATCTGCAGATGCATTGATCTGACCAGTCCCTCTTGTGACAAGACCACACGTGGGGAAAGACGGTCACAACACGAAGCGGCCGCTCCGCCCAAGTGCACCCAGACATTCAGGTCCAGGAGTCGGAACGCAGGAGAAACATCAAGTACAAATACTGCTGCGCCGTGGACAGATGTTTTTTGATCAATCTGCACAGGCCTCGCTCTGACCAGTCCCTCCTGTGACAAGACCACACGTGGGCAAAGACGGCCACAGCACGAAGCGGCCGCTCCGCCCAAGTGCCCCCAGACACTCAGGTCCAGGAGTCGGAACGCAGGAGAAGCATTAAGTACACATACTGCTTCACCGTGGCCATTGGGCGCAGTCAGCATGCTTACACGAAGCTGAAATCGCAGAACACAAAGTCGACACTGCCGGAGCTGGCACAACGCACAATGCACTCACTCACTCACATGCACTCACTTACTCATTATACTCGGAGGCCTGGAAATGGGCACCAACACCAACACAGGGGGTTGCCTCCACAGGGGCAAAGTGGTCCTAGATTTCGGTGTTGGTGGTCATACTTCGGCCACCGTGGAAGCCAGAATATTACCACCGTCACCGAGATCGGGATCTTCTTCCCTCGATGGAGGCACACCGCCGATATTGGTGTTGGTGTCAACCTCTGGGCCTGCGACATACGCTTCTAGTGCGGCAGCAAATCTTGGCCGCCCCTCAGTAGCAGCCCGTGTTGTTGTACCTGCACGGCTGGTCCTCGAAGCAGCACAGGCCGGGGCAGCTGGAGTCGTAGACGATGGGCAGGCCCGTGTTGATGCCCTTCACGGCCTTGCACTCGGCGTCGTTCGTGGGCGTCGTCCTCACCTTCTGCTGCGCCAAGGCGCGGAGTAGCAGCCCGTGTTGTTGTACCTGCACGGCTGGTCCTCGAAGCAGCACAGGCCGGGGCAGCTGGAGTCGTAGACGATGGGCAGGCCCGTGTTGATGCCCTTCACGGCCTTGCACTCGGCGTCGTTCGTGGGCGTCGTCCTCACCCTTGTGCTGCGCCAAGGCTGCGGAATAGCAGCCCGTGTTGTTGTACCTGCACGGCTGGTCCTCGAAGCAGCACAGGCCGGGGCAACTGGAGTCGTAGACGATGGGCAGGCCCGTGTTGATATCCTTCACGGCCTTGCACTCGGCGTCGTTCGTGGGCGTCGTCCTCACGTTCTGCTGCGCCTTGGATGCGGAGTAGCAGCCCGTGTTGTTGTACCTGCACGGCTGGTCCTCGCAGCAGCACAGGCCGGGCAGCTGGAGTCGTAGACGATGGGCAAGCCCGTGTTGATGCCCTTCGCGGCCTTGCACTCGGCGTCGTTCGTGGGCGTCGTCCTCACCTTCGGGCACGCCAAGGCTGCGGAGTAGCAGCCCGTGTTGTTGTACCTGCACGGCTGGTCCTCGAAGCAGCACAGGCCGGGGCAGCTGGAGTCGTAGACGATGGGCAGGTCCTTGTTGATACCCTCCACGGCCTAGCACTCGGCGTCGTTCGTGGGCGTCCTCACCTTCTGCTGCGCCAAGGCTGCGGAGTAGCAGCCCGTGTTGTTGTACCTGCACGGCTGGTCCTCGAAACAGCACAGGCCGGGGCAGCTGGAGTCGTAGACGATGGGCAGGCCCGTGTTGATGCCCTTCACGGCCTTGCACTCGGCGTCGTTCGTGGGCGTCGTCCTGACCTCCTGCTGCGCCAAGGCTGCGGAGTAGCAGCCCGTGTTGTTGTACCTGCACGGCTGGTCCTCGAAGCAGCACAGGCCGGGGCAGCTGGAGTCGTTAGACGATGGCAGGTCCTTGTTGATACCTCTCCACGGCCTTACACTCGCGCCCGTTCGTGGGCGTCCTTCACCTTCTGCTGCGGCCAAGGATGCGGGAGTAGCAGCCCGTGTTTGTTGTAGACCCCTGCACGGCTGGTCCTCGAAGCAGCACAAGCCAGGGCAACTGGAATCGTAGACGATGGGCAAGCCCGTGTTGATGCCCGGCACGGCCTTGCACTCGGCGTCGTTCGTGGGAGTCGTCCTCATCTTTTGCTGCGCCAACGCTGCGGAGTAGCAGCCCGTGTTGTTGTACCTGCACGGCTGGTCCTCGAAGCAGCACAGGCCGGGGCAGCTGGAGTCGTAGACGATGGGCAGGCCCGTGTTGATGCCCTTCACGGCCTTGCACTCGGCGTCGTTCGTGGGCGTCGTCCTCACCTTCTGCTGCGCCAGGGCTGCGGAGTAGCAGCCCGTGTTGTTGTACCTGCACGGCTGGTCCTCGAAGCAGCACAGGCCGGGGCAGCTGGAGTCGTAGACGATGGGCAGGTCCTTGTTGATACCCTCCACGGCCTTGCACTCGGCGTCGTTCGTGGGCGTCCTCACCTTCTGCTGCGCCAAGGCTGCGGAGTAGCAGCCCGTGTTGTTGTACCTGCACGGCTGGTCCTCGAAGCAGCACAGGCCGGGGCAGCTGGAGTCGTAGACGATGGGCAGGCCCGTGTTGATGCCCTTCACGGCCTTGCACTCGGCGTCGTTCGTGGGCGTCGTCCTCACCTTCTGCTGCGCCAAGGCTGCGGAGTAGCAGCCCGTGTTGTTGTACCTGCACGGCTGGTCCTCGAAGCAGCACAGGCCGGGGCAGCTGGAATCGTAGACGATGGGCAGGCCCGTGTTGATGCCCGGCACGGCCATGCACTCGGCGTCGTTCTTGGTCGTCGTCCTCACCTTCTGCTGCGCCAAGGCTGCGGAGTAGCAGCCCGTGTTGTTGTACCTGCACGGCTGGTCCTCGAAGCAGCACAGGCCGGGGCAGCTGGAGTCGTAGACGATGGGCAGGTCCTTGTTGATACCCTACACGGCCTAACACTCGGCGTCGTTCGTGGGCGTCCTCACCTTCTGCTGCGCCAAGGCTGCGGAGTAGCAGCCCGTGTTGTTGTACCTGCACGGCTGGTCCTCGAAGCAGCACAGGCCGGGGCAGCTGGAGTCGTAGACGATGGGCAGGTCCTTGTTGATACCCTCCACGGCCTTGCACTCGGCGTCGTTCGTGGGCGCCGTCCTCACGCTCATTTGCTCATGCCGATTCACCTGCATCATCTGCGAGCTCTTCTGGAGCATGCCCATGTCGTCCTGCTCTCCCGCAGCGCACTGCTGCCCTACAGCGCAGGAAGCTTGCGCGCCCGACGCGTGCGCGAGTGCCAACAACGAGGCCGCGGCGATGAGGAGCGCCATCGGCTGCAGACTGTAGTCTTTCTCGCTTCTAGCAAAGCAAAGACAGGCGCACTTGAGCCAAAATCGCGTGAGCTAGAATGGCTTGAGCCAAAATGGCTACGGGGAAGGAGGAGGAGGAGGAGGAGGAGGACTTCCTGGGGGGGCGGCAAATGGGGACACCTGCTGCATGCAGCTGGTTGCCGCCCCGCCCCCTGGGGCCCGTGCCTCGACGCGCGGGCGCCTCCCAGCGCCAGGGGGCGCCATGAGAGGAACTCTGCCGTGCCGCCCACCCCGAAGATGGGGACGGGGGGTAGGAAGAAACATGCACCTTTCGTGTCTCTCTTGGGCCCCGAGGGGGCCCCTCGAGGACGCTCTCCCCCTCCCCCCCTACATTCAATTCTCGGGACGGACGAAAGGGCGGGGTAGTGAAGGGCAGGGTAGAGAATCAGCTCACGTGGCTGGCTCTCCTGGCGCCTCCTGGCGCTGGGAGAGGCGCCCGTGTATCGAGGCATGGGTCCGGTGGCGGGGCGAGAACCAGCTGCCTGCAGCAGATTTCGTACCCCCACTTTCCCCCAGCCCCGGGGACGCGCAAACATGGATTAGCGATCCTGGCGCGCGGTCGCCAAATCCATGGATCGGGGGAGGTGCCCTCCCCAAAATGCGGCCGGTGCCGCCTCGTTCGGCGGCGGAACTCCGCGATCTCCGACGGAAACGGGGCCCGCCGCTAATCCAGTTAGCGATCGCCTGGCATCTCCCCCCTTCTCCCTGGACCTCTCACCGGGTGTGTTCTGACCAGAACTTCGAGGCGAAGCCAGCGGGGGCGACGAGGGCCTCCGAGGAGGCCCAACAAGGCGAAAACGGTGCCAGGGCAGCGGTATGGGTACATGTTTCTCTTCCCTCCCCCCTCTCGTTCGGCCAAGCACTTTTGTCGCCCCCCCCCCCAGGCACGCTGGTCCGCGGAAGGGTCCGGTGTCCGGATTCTGGGCGGGCTCGGCTCGAGGGCGGGCGGGGGCACTGCTCTCCTCCCTCGCTGCCTCCCTGCTCCTCCGCGCCAGGCCTCTTCCCGGTGAGCGTCTTGGTCGGCGTCTCGACATTTGGCGGAAAGGGGGGGGGAGGGGGGCCCTGACTCCGGATCCGCCCTACTTTGGGGGAATTCGTAAGTAGGGCTTGGAATTTCCGCCTTACTTTTCAAGCCCCGCTGAAGCCAATTTCCGCCCTACGTTTCTGTTGCTGTTTCCGCTCTACTTCTGTAGATTTCCGCCCTACTTTATGTTGGGTGCAAGAATATCCGCCCTACTTGTTCGGCTTCTTATAGGTGGATTTCCGATGCAATTTTAAGTTGGGAAAAAAAGCCAAAGTAGGGCGGATCTGGAGTCAAGGGGGGGGGGAATTCTGGCTCCAGACCTCTGCTTAGTGCGACTGTTTGCAACCGTGCGTCTTGTGGGGGAGACTACACATGCCTGAAACAAGCGCCCCCTGGAGGGGGGAGGGGAGGGGTGCGAGGGCCAGAACCGATCGGGGTCTTCTCAGAACGGGTCGGCTGCTTCAGGGTGCCGAGTGTTGAGTGTCCGGGGTTTCTTGTATCTCCCGTCGCGCCGCCATCCGCGTCGAATGCACGTCGGCTCCGCGTCGAACACGGTGGAATATATGACGAGTTCGCGTCGACTTCGCGCCAGCAGCAAGGAAACTTCACGTTCGGCCACGTTGACGGATCATCTGCGAGCAAATGGATGTGTCCTGCGCCTCCACTGAATCGAAATTCCAGCGCCGCCGAGCTGCCTCAGCGAGAAGTGCTCCTCATCGAGAAGCGCCTCACCGAAAACGAAGCAACGAGCTGCCTCACCTTCAGCACCCGAGCTGAAGGAAGCGCGCTGCCTCATCTGCAGCAACCCCGAGCTTTGGTACGAGGTGTGACTGCCGCCCAGGGGGGAACAGCAAGGGAGGGAGGAGAGGAGGAGGGTAGGGTAAGTAGGAGGAGGGAGGAGAGGAGGAGGAGGAGGGAGGAGGAGGAGGAGGAGGAGGAGAGAGGAGGAGGGAGGAGGAGGGTAGGGAGGTAGGAGGAGAGGAGAGAGGAGGGGTAGGGAGTAGGAGGAGGAAGGGAGGAAGAGGAGAGGAGGAGAGGGAGAGAGGAGGAGGAGAAGTAGGGTAAGGAGGGGAGACCCAAACCCTAGACCCAAACCCCAAATACCCGCTTTCCGCGCTCTGGCTCCGGCCTCGGCCTCCTGACATGGACTGAACCAGAAGATCCTCCTCCACCTCCTCCTCTCCTCCTCCTCGCTGGCTGCTGCTCCACCGCGTTCTCCGCCTCCTCCTCCTCCTCCTCCTCCCTTCCTCCTCCACCTACTCCTCCTCCTCCTACTCGTCGTCCCGTCGTCCTCCTCGTTTCGTCGTGAACCAGAGATCCCTCCTCCTCTCCTGCTGCTATGCTGCCTGCTCCACCGCGTTCCTTCTCCGCCTCCTCCTCCCCCTCCTCCTCCTCCTCCTCCTCCTCCTCCTCCTCCTCCTCCTCCTCCTCCTCCTCCTCCTACTCGCCGTCCTCGTCGTCGTCTTCAGGGTCGGCGGCACCGGCCGTAAGGCCCGCACAATCGACCGAAGCAGAACCTGGGGCGAGGCTCCCTCGTATCCCGCGAAGGGAGGGCAGACCCTCCATGTTGCATGCTCATTCTGGGGACCTTCCTGGAGCCACTCGCTTCACTCGTGCGTCGAAGCTGCGTCGAACCTGAGTCGAACCTGAGTCGAACCTGCGTCGAACCTGAGTCGAACCTGAGTCGAACCTGCGTCGAACTTGAGTCGAACCTGAATCGAACCTGAGTCGAACAGATCCGTTAGGTGGGCCCCAGGAAGGTCCCCAAAACGAGCATCGAATCCATGGCACCAGAGGGCAGCAAGGGCCGAGCCGACGCCCCATCATGATGTTCCAACCTGCTGCAGCCTTGACCGCCAGAAAGAATTCCGAGCATCAAGAAAGTACCGAACTGGGGGGGGCTTTCACGCGTTGGGCCCTGGGAGGCGATACATACTCGCCCCTCGCGCGACACCGTTTCGATACCGTTCGGGGTGCTCGAGGTTATGTTGGGGATGTGGCCTTGTTCAATACGACGGGAGCAACATGAGCTCCCTCCCAGAGCGCAGGGGAGGCCAATTGCCGGAGGAGGCCCCCCCCGGGCCGGCAGGCAGGGGGGAGGTGCAGCATCTGCGCGGCAGCGGGAGGAGCGGGGCTGTGCTGGCCGCCTCCTCCTGCTGCCGCACGTCTCCCCGTCCCCCAGCCTCACCTCCTCTAGATGTTTCTCTTCGTCCTCGGCCTCCTCTACATCTTCCTCCCCCCTCCGTCCCCCCCCCATCTCAGCTGGAAATGCCAGGGCCCCCACACAACCTCAGAAGCCCCGAGGCCGCCTGGGGACCTTTGACACGATCCAAAAGCATGAGACGCAATCCCCTTCCTGCTTCCAGTTGATCAGCCTTCTACTCTCACTCCAGCTTCTCAACCGCTGTTTCGTCTTCCGAACATCGGAAAGAGGCTGACAACCCCAAGACACCAGGACAACTTCGAACACCTCATCCTTCTCCCTCTCACTCCTCCCATCCTGAAGTTCCGTATCCTCCTCCTCCTCCTCCTCCTCCTCCTCCTTTTCCTCTTCCTCATTCCCATCCCCCCCACCCTCCCTCCCGCCCTCCCAGAGACAGGCCTCACGCCAAGAACGCCCCCAAACCAACTCTGGAGCCCCCTATAACCTTCCCCCTCCTCCTCCTCCTCCTCCTCCTCCTCCTCCTCCTCCTCCTCCTCCTCCTCCTCCTCCTCCTCCTCCTCCTCCTCCTCCCCCTCCTACCCCTCATCCACATCCTCATTCTCCTTCCCGTCATCCTGCTCCATCCCTTGTCCTTCTTGATATCTCCTCCCTGTCGCACCCCGAGACTTGTCGGTAGGGTGGGCTGGGCGTTTCGCAACCCTTCGGCTTACAAATGTTGAACAATTTTACGGACGGATGGTGCGTCGCTTTCCAAATGCGCTTCTGGCCTTAGTGCGAGTTTCACGGATGGAGGGCGTATCTTTTTCAGCATGTAGCTCTCGCCTTAGCGCCGCGCGCATTCGTCTTAGAAGTTTGGAGGAATGTCACGGATGGAGGGCGGCTCCTTTTCAAAAAGTGGCTCTTGCCTTAGCGCAGTGAACATTCGTTTTTAGAGTTAACAGCAGTTTCAGCGATTCTCGGATGGTTGCCGTCCCAGACTTGGCGGTGTTGCACAAGGTAGGACTGTCAGGGCGCAGCAAGTGATTCGTGGCGTTAAAATCCCAGGAACGGCGTTCTAGCACGATCCAGGATCGTCAGGACGCTACACTAACGTTAATTCGCGGCGAGAAAGCTCCAATAATGGTGCTTTGGCACGGCTCACACGGGGCAATACCCCCAGTGAAAATCAATTCTTGTAGCGACATGTGAAGAGGAAACTTGCAGGGAGGTGTTGTGTTATTGCACAATCATTGATTGGTATTGGGTTTGCGCTGGTCCTCCTTCTCCTCCTCCTCCTGTCCTCCTCCTCCTCCTGTGCTTGCCATACCGCAAACACCGAATTGGAGTGACCCTAGCCGCAGGGGCCAGAAGACGAAAATGGCAGCACTGCGGGCAGGCCTATTCTGTCGATCATGGTGAATTGCTTGTCCTGCGCGTCTGCGAACTCTGCCGCCGCAGCTCTTGCAATTCCTCCTGCTCCTGCTCCCATATCGTCATCCTCATCCTCGTCCTCACTGCCTTCATACTCGACACCATCCGTAAGACATCCCTGGCACCTCCCCCATATTGGTACTCTCTCCCTCTCTCTCATTACATATACAAACAATATACAAATAAACAGACCGATAGTAAGACCGATACGAGTAACATCAATCACACGTGTTATTCTGTACACGTGTGACTTATACATCTCCCCTACGCTCGGGTACGTTTGCTTAGTGTGTCGCGGCGGCGGCCCCAGCGACACGCCATGCTCTGCGAGCGGATAGCGGTTCGCTCCGCTCCGCGGGGAGGGAGGCCAAGAAAAGCTTGGACCGTTGACGCTTTTGGGCTGGGACGTGGTTAGAGTCGTACCTGGGACAGAAAAGACATCCGTCAAGCACACGAGGCCT